AAAAAAAAATAAGGTAGACAGGGGCCATCGAGTATGGCTGAGAAAAAACCTTCAGGATATACGTGGAGAGATTAAATGGGGACTACTTGCCTTTGGGCATACGCAGCGAACCTTCTTGCCATGAGAAATTCAGTTGGAGAGATAAAGGTAAGCCTTCGCCTGGAGGACTAGAAGAGGATTTTTTTTTCTCTCGCAGGACTCACTTCACCACTTACCTCTACTTATACCTGTAGAGATGCCGAGAAGTCTTTCCTGTAAATCGATACCATATTGGGCTTTGGATCGTCGGCGTCCACATACGGCTGTGATGGCAGTAAGTTTTGATCCCGGTAGTCTGGATCTGTACCTCTTTGCCTCAAGGTTTTGACGGCATTTATAAATTGTTGTTTGGTCTTTTTACATTCGCTATTATGTTGGGAGCACAGTACGACTTTTTACTGCTTTGAACGAAACGGGGAAATTATTGCCTCCTTGATTTTTGATCGATGAAGACAAGCAGATTTATCACGGTTTGATATGTGAAAATAAGATCATTAGATCGAGAATGTTAACCCTTTCTGCCGCACGCGACAGCTGTACAGAGCAAGTATCTGTAGTGTCCCTGCGCTGCGCTCAAATTCCAAGTTCCGAGGAAACAAATAATCATATTCCATCGGAAAAAAGGATGGAAAAAAAGACAAACTAAATAATTAGTTGTGGCCGCAGCTGTACTTCGGGCTGTATCGCGCACGACACGTTTGCTAGGACGAGACCAGAACATCACATAAGGGAATCCGGCACCCAAATGAAGACTGTTAGAGACGTGTCCTCTCGGGAAGTAAACGTTGGAAAGCCATTGTCACCCGGCTGCTACTCGGCGTCGAGATTGCCTACATGTTATTAATGTTTGCGAGAAGGTTTGCGCCACATGGATGAAGAGGAGAAATTCATAATTTAGGAGCCAGAGCGGAATCCAGGAGGGAATTCTTAGGAATAGGAAGACCCTTTCGTGCATGAATTTTTACAGCAAAACAAAAATATCATTTTTTAAATTTAATGTTTAAGGTGGTACTCCACCGTAGTAGTCTCATGTTGGCAACACTGAATAGATTATGTTTCCTGGAGTAGACTGCAAATACCAAAAGTTTCGAGACTTGTGGCTTATGGCTGAAAAACCAACATCAGAACCAAAATTGAAGCCGTCCGCTTCGGTCGACATCATGCACGAAAGGGACGAGAAACGGGCGTCCCAACGTAGGCGAAGACGATATGCCTTTTTTTCTTCAAGATCATTTTTCCGTCGATAGTTCTGGCGATATCACTGAGATCCAATCTTAAGTGAATTTGCCATGGGGACTCCAGTTTCTTGCTTTTGCAGGAAATATGGACCCGAGTCGAATCAGTCCTTAGCTTTTCGTCCAGAAGAACAGAAAGATAAGCAGAAAAATGAAGACTCATGCAGCGATCATAAAGGAGCACCCAAGTATATGACGAAGAGGGTAAATAGACCGAAGGGAAAGTTCGTATCTAGTACGCGAGATGGTCCAACATTGCAAGTCACCCTTGAACAGATGGAAACACTTAGTTGAACAAGCTTAGATATTGACAGAATCTGCTCCAGCTCCCAATCGTCTTCGATGCATTCGTGATGAGTGCTATGAGACGATGCAATTGAAAAATAGAGAGAAAAGAGAGAAGAGGAATCAATTCTGCTCCAGAGCACCGCCTTTGTAGGGATCGAAATTCGGGCGAGTCTGAATTTCTGTGGCCGAGAAGCCGAGTTTTCCTAACAAACCGGCATAGAAGTGATCCTGCATCCACTCGTGATCTCGAATCCCGTTAATCGTGATCATTTTCTTGGGTTCCGGCTCTAGAAGTTGCCGAATGAGATCTTTCACCTGAGGACTGAGACTCCGCTCCACTCGGTCGTCGTATCGGAATCTCTTCTCCTTTTGGGCGTCGATGAGTCTAAGAAGATGGCATTTCCCAAAAGGGAGTTTCCGATTGAGCATAATGAAGAGGACGACTCCGGTGGACCAGATATCCGCTTTGCAGGGCTCGTAAGGGATCCCAATCAAGATGTGCGGGTGGGCGTAAGCTGGGGACCCACAATAGGTTCTGCTCTTCTGTCCGGCCTCGATGTGACGTGCGAAGCCGAAGTCCGCCACTTTTAGGTTGTAGGAGACGGTGATGAGAAGGTTTTCGCATTTCAGGTCCCGATGGTACCAATTGCGACCGTGAAGGTAGCCGACGGCAGATACGATCTGCCGGAACCAATACTGAGCCTGGTACTCGCGCAGGGGACCGAATCTCATCAAGTACCCTCGGACGTCTCCTCGGGGCACCAATTGCATGAAGATGAACACTTGCGCCTCGTGCCTCAACACCGCCCGGGTCCTCACGCAATGAACGTGATCCATCTCCTTGGAGATGCTCAGTTCTCGAGGAAAAAACGAGCGAAGGAAATTCGGCGAGAGCTTCCTCGTGTCCACGACCTTCACGGCGAGTTTCTCCCGTTCACCCGACGCGGGACGACGGAACTCCGCAAGTCGAATCACGCCGTACGTCCCTTTGGCTATCTTCGGACCCAATCGAAAGCCTTTTCGACGAAGGGCCAATCGCGCCGAGATGGACGCGAAGAGGTCGAATCCCAGGATGTCCAAGATGACCTTCGGGCATCCAGTCCCATGCATTCCGGGTGGCTCTTTCTCCAACTCGGCCGAGAATCACACGGATTCCTTCTCGGACACCCTATAGGAAATTCATGGGAAAGTTTTTCCCTCCGTTATCATCATGCCGACACGATGACTGGAAACTCCAATCCATTTGAAGATTGAGCAGAAACTTAGGAGGACGATATGTTTTTCTCCGATGTTATACAGGATCATGGAAGCGGAAAATACAGGAAGAGGACATCTTTAGGACCTGCCACTTCGGACACCTTAAGAGGATTGCATTTATTGTGTACCTTATAGATATGCAATACGCAGGGCTAGTGCATCTGACGGGATCTCTCCATAGTAGTGTCGAAGTTGAACTCGTTAAATAATCTTACTGCATGGATGCGTTTGGGTCGAAGATTGGAAATAGAAAGTGAATGCTTGAACGAAGATCCGCTCGGAGAATCCAGGAAATTGTGAAGCCAGTGCAAGATCTTGAAATGTGACGTAAGAAACGTTCTCCCGGGGTAATATACAAACGATTGGTCCATGTATCCGACCGAGTTCCTCATTTTTGTCGTCAATGTCACCAGGAAAAGAGATTTTATATTCGAAATTCTACTAAAATAGATTTGAATGTGAAAAATGTAGCTCAAAATTTTCCTTTAAAGTGACTGAAAATATTTCAATTTCTGAATGTCATGTCAATCGACGCATTTATGGCTCCATCATTAGAAGCCGTGCTGATGCTGAATGCATTGGAGACAAATTCCCTGCACCTTTCCATAGGGCGGCCGTCCGATAAAAATCAGCGCGTGCGAGTGGATCCGACGCTTCCTTGGATGTCCCGCGTTGGGGGACCAATCAGAACATGCCACGTCATCGAGAAGCGGATGCTCAAGCGGATGCTCACATGCTTCTTGCAATGCCGTGGATTTGTTGCCGCATCGATTCCCTGCAATGTTTGCAATTGAGCTCAGAATTATTCACTCGACCCCGACCTTCACGACGCAGGCTGCGTTCATCCTAATAGTCACTTTCACCCAATATATTCGCAGTCGATTGAAAACCTGTCGGAATCGAGTGAAAAAAAAAAGAAATACGATTTCGGCAGATTTTCGAGCATGATTCTTTTCAGACGAACGAGGAAGAGAGAGGACCATGAAAAACTTCATTTTATCTTCCTCATCCAATGACTGCAGACCACCATGATGGAGAACTTTCGAGATTTCTGATCGGTTCCCAGTACCTACCAGACAAATAGTCTTCATTCCAAGGTGGGCCGCTAGGAAACCATAAATGTAGCTCACGAATACCCCTTTCTGCAGGGCTAGGCAGGGCATTTGGAGTCCGACGACAATCACAGATCTTCCTTCCCGATAGCTCGAGGACATGTGTCGCTCCGAGAAAGAACTTTAAACCAGATCTTAAAGTCCCTGTAACGAACGCTTGCCTTTCTGCGAGGTTCTTGTCACGTGCCCCTGCAGTTGGGTTAGTTTTTTTCCCCAAAGGAGTTAGATTTCTCTTTCAAGTACATTTTAGAATTGAAAATTGGTTTCATTCTGTCTCACTCCCTTTGTCCTGAGAAAAAAAAACCAGTGTAAATGAACCTTCGAATCATGATCATGTGATTCAACGATGAGCTGGGTCGATATCAAATGAGAAAAGGGGAAAGAGAAAACATATGAGGAGAGGGAACTGAGGAATTATGCGGGTATTTATCAGGTGGAGTGACACCTGCCTGGTCCTGACGTCTTCTACAAGGATGTCATATTCCATGCTGCTGTTTTACACGCTCACCTCGGAAAATCTAAGGATAACACCCGTCAAAAAAACATTTTAAGAGCGCGAGCAGTCAGGATGTGTGCATTCCCCAATGCGGAAGGAAGGGAAAATTGCATAAAGTAAGGAGGATGGGGGAGGGACGAGTCCTGCGATCGGGCATCCGTGAGAGTTCCTCTTCCGGTTGGTCGCGAGTTCCCAATTTCCGTAGGGAGTCCAGGACGGTATGCACGCTCTTCCTGACTGATTAACCACATGACCTAACTTGAGCTCTTGCGATCTATTTCATTCGTATCTGGGGGCTTTCATGGAATACCCCTCAGTCTGTGAAGTGGAGCCTCACCATCCTCACTTGTTTCTTCTCGCCTTCGAAGCAGGACAGGTATCTCGAATGCTCTTATCGGGTTGAATGATGCAGCAAGCGGTTAAGGGAAAGCGGGCATATTCCCCACAGACCCTCAATCTCATCCACCCACAATTTCAGTTTCTGGGTTGCTGGGCCCTACCCGACTTCATGATACTGTGTTCTTTTTGTGCTGGAATTGCAAAGAAATCTATCCATCGGAGGTTTCTATCGGTCACGTCGCCTTAATGTTCGATGGAATTCATCGGCATGTCATCGGTTTACTCTGGAGAAGAGGGAAAACCCAGTAATCCGAAAATATTAATCAAAGTACCAGGATCTGTCAGTTTTGTTTCATTCTGAGAAATTTATGTGAAATTGATCTTAAGCCCATCACTTCTTAAATTGAAATAAGAGAATTCTCTGGCACTTTAAAACATCTATTGAAAAACCAGCGGAATTCTGCTCTTCTCAGATGGAAGACCCACACAATTGCCTGGGTGAAAGGCATCGTCCTTCCCGTCTCCTGTGGTGCTACGTCCTTGGTGAGACCCACCTGAACTAGAGTATTGGAAGAGAAACTCCTCCTTTCTTTTATGCCCCTCCCAATACACCCGGGCCCATAAAAGACACCCAGTATAACTCTAAATACATTACCTTGAGTTTGGTCCTATACGCATTTGATGACGAACGTAAAGAATATACACTGTATATATCAGTACCAGAGAGAACAATAATTTCGCTTGAAATGATCGCAGGTCTCTTGTCATGATGATGGTGGAAGGGGAAGGAGACGGCTGGAAGGGCCAAATGGTTTCAGATGGAGAGGAAACACTGAATAGCCCCGGCAGGAACAACTTCTCCACGTGCATCTACAACCACAACTTGAATGGGAAGGATCTCAACAGGCAAAAGGTATTCTACTTCTGACATGCAATGTGCACTTCCAAAATTTTGTTCGTAAATTAGTCACTCCATGCAGAGAATAACTGAACGGTGCGACAATTTTTAGACCAGGGTGTGATACTAGCATAAGGTTACGATGGCTTGTAGTTTTAATAGGCTATGGAAAGAATCGTACGACGCCCAGTGTGAAGTAACCCTTTCCCATACATATCACGCCCTCACAACTCACTTTCACGTCTTAGTAAATCCTAAATATTGTAAATTGGTGCACTTTCTCCCCCTTCAAGTGCCTCAAACTTCAGGTATAAAGCGAAGCGAAGCAGTTCTGGAAATCGGGAGGTCGGGGATCTCTTTCTTGTTCTTTCGGCTGCGTTTCGTTTAGTTCACTCTGGAGCGGAGGTTCTCAACCTGCAGATCGCGGTCCAGGTCCAGACCACGATCTTCGACCCTCCGGATCGCATTACCTCATGGTGGTGCTTTTTTTTGCCTTTTCCACACCTGCGGCCTTCTTCCCCCTCCCTCCCCCAAACACTAAGTCTAATAGCACGATAGCACGGAAGCGTAGGGGGGGGGGGCGGAGAAAGGGTTGAGGTTGGGTTGAGGTTGAGGTCCAACTCTTCCGTTGTTCTGAAAGAAGCCCCCCCTCTCATTTTCTTTTCGTGGTCACCACTCCCCCCCCCCCCCCCTCCCGTTCGAAAAATTTCGTAGTTAACCCTCCCAATGGAATGCAGTCAACGCGTTCTTATCTGATAGCGACTGTTAGTACTTGCGTCAGAATTTAAGTCCCGGACCACCATATCTCCAGGTTGTCATGTGAGCGAACCTCTCTACTCACTGGAACACCCTATCCTAGAAGAAAAACGTTGTCTCCAGTGCTGAGTTAGTAATGGTTCTATTAGAAGTACTGGTAAGTACTTCAGGGAAGCATTGAATTGTTCGAAACAAAAGAGGCATTTCTTCACTATTCTTGGCGGCATGCATTTCAGGGAATCCAAGACACAAGCCCTGAAAGGACGGAATGGTACTTAATACTAAAAAGCCACAGGGCAGTCCTGTTGCACGAATGACTTAACCGATGTCGACCATATTGGTTCTGTTGAACTTGCTTCGTATTGGCAGTTTTTATGTTATGGGTCACAAGCAATGAGCTCCACCATGATAATCAACCGACTGTAACAATGAATTTGGTTTAACCAATGAACTCTTCAATGAAAGCCGTATTTGCTGAGCTTACCAGTCCAAAAATTGCGTTGGATTTCATTATGTATAATTTTCAAGATTTTTGGAGCATCCGTCCATATACACACACATTCATTCCACTATCTGAAACCGTATATCCCGTATTCGCTTAATCGATAAAAAGAATATGCAGTAAGAAATTCCCTGTTTTAGCCAGGATATATACTCTCGTGGCTTCCTCAGAAATGTTTCTATTTCCACCGTAATACAAGTTTAAAGTAGTTTGGGTTTGAAGTAGGCATAAGATTGCCTGTGTCGTTTTCCTATCGGTTTGTGGTTAAGGGGGCTCCTCTTTTGTTGGAAAAGATAGCCTTTGCTTGCGTATTGCGTGGGTAGCGAGGCGATTTTTCTTGCCTGATGGGATACCAGACAGGTAGAGCCATTTTCAGGCAATGCTTCAGAGCTTTGAAAAGGACTAAATATTCCCACTTACCCGGTTTGAACAGGGTGGGAATACGCGGCGGGGAGAGGGAAAAGTCAGTTTCAACAATGGTGGTCGTGGAGGCCGCGAGAAGCCTGCACATCTGGTTGCAAGGAGAAATGCGAGGGAAAGACGACGGGTTCAAGCCGTGAATGGAGCCTTTACCCGCCTCCGGAACGTCCTCCCACTGGAAAACAGGTGAGACCATCTACCATCTCAACACCTAAAGTCCTGTTCACGTGTGCCAGCTCGAATTGTATTTTAATATATGTAGGAAAAAAGTGTAAAAACATACCTGGGATGGGAACCTCTTCCCGCGTGTAAAGCCATCTTGTGCAGTTATGAAGTGAAAATGTCGAACTAAAAGTATTCAATTTTTTTATAATTACCAAATATAGTCGGACGCAACGAATTAAATTGGGTAATTTTGTTGGGACTCAGTGTTAACTGTCTTATCCCAACCAGTGAGAAAAGGTGTTCGTGGTGTTCCATCAGAGGGAAGCGGGTGTCGAAGGTGAAGACGTTGCAGCGAGCCATTGACTACATCGCGCATTTGGCCTCACTCCTTGCGGAATCCCCTCCGCATTCATCTCCTTATGCCAGATACCATGATCACATTCAGGAGCATCTCTCCTCCTTCCAGGAACATCTTCATCACCATCATCATCGAATGAGCCCCCCTTCTCACCATCATCACCAGCCTGGACTCACATGTAGGGCTCATCCGTATCCCCAATGAATACATAGACTTCCTGTCATGAATCAGTGAAGTCGTTCCAGATAACTTCATTTAGCGAGCCTTTCTGTTTTGTGAATAAATGCAAGAGCCCCTTAAAAACTCTGTACATTAGCAAGGAAGGCTTGGTCAACGGTTGCTGAGAGAAGGAAAACTATCAGTTTTCATCCCCTCCATTGTATCCAATTGTAAAACCAGCAAGTAACCACAACGAGCTGTACCTATAGTAAGTCGATATTCGTGCAATCTCATGAGAGGAAAGATAATGTGAAATCGACAGTGGGAGATCCTCCAAGGTTCACCTTTTTTTTACTTTTGGACAAATACGAGGTGCGTTTGGTAAGTGGCAATCATGGCGGCAGAGCTAATTCATTTTTCCGGCACTGCAATGCAGGAATCTTCAAAAGTTATGTCTCTCCTATACCTGTGTGAAACTTCAGCTTTGGATGTAGTCAACTTTTGTTTTTTACATACTTTTTAAGCGCAGTTGGTTGGCTTAACTGATTAAATATGACTAATATTCATAAGAGGGACAGGGGCTGTCCCTCTCAAAATTAGGAACTGTACGGTAGTTGCTGGAAGGGCAGATCTTCTTCAAACTACTTATGAAAGCCTGGCAGCATTATCGCCATATGGTGAAAAAAAGTCATGTTCCTGGCAAAGTGAAAGAGCGTGTGAAGTTAATAATTAATTTTTGAATGCACTTCGTACGTGCCCGACACGTTTTCAATAAAATTGAATCCAATCCATGAATGGGGTAAAAAAAAAATCTATTTTCATTCCTCACCTCATCAAAAACCTTCAAAGGCATTTTAAATATCCACATTCAATCCCTGTTTGACAACGCAAGACAAAACTCTGTTGCAGTTTGCATGAAAAATATCCTAGAAACAACAGGAGAAAAACTTGGCCAATATGAACTTACATAGAGATGATGACCATGAACATCATGATGATCATTAAAATCACCCTAGTAGAAAAAAAGAAGAGAAATCAGATTCATAAAGCATGGACCCCATAGCTTCTCCAATGGATTTGGAACACCAAGTGGTAAAACTGTTCCTCAGTCTTCCCATCATTGGCTCATCCTTTGGAGTATCCAGCATCGAATCAATTGAATGATTGAAAATATTGAACAATGTATCGAATTTCAGTGGAAATAATGAAATTAAGAACGAAACAACTCTTGATTTGCACCTGCGAACTGTGCCTTTTCCCTGTGTGATTGCCTCCGGCAACTTTCAGCACTTCCGAGGAATCCGAATCGCTTTCTTCTTCAATAGCACATTTACCTCTCCACCATCTGGTCTTCTGAAGATCAAGGCAAGTCAGCAACTGCATCTCTTTCTCTCACAGAACGTTTTTGAAGATAAAACATGGCACGTCGAGCATCTTTACAAGGTGTTAAATACGCAAAGTTTTTGTTTCCTTTGGGATTGTCCAGTTTCGTGAGGAGGAGTGGCAGACGTAAATAATTTAGCTGATAGCGAAAATGTGAGAGAAACGCGAAAGATCGGTTTTATGGAATGCAATGCAAGGGCGAGGTATAAAAGGGGGAGAACGAATGGAGGAATAAGATTTTCATATATAAAGGCGCTGGGAGGCACTGCAAGGCTCAAAAAACTTCTCTTTCGGGCGTTCTTCCATCTTAATGTAGGTATATAAGATCAATTATCACCCATTGGTATCACGCATAGAGCACCCTCATGGGAAAACTTGTGAGATCAGTCATCAATTGTGCAAAATAGCTAGAAAGTTGGAAGGGAGATGAATGAGAAAGGTCACAAGTTTCCAACCACACCAGAAGGAAAAAGAGAACCAAGAACCATACAGTACTTGTTTGACTGGGAGGTGAGAGATGAATCCCTGAGAGAATCTTTCAATCAGCGAATGGAATTAATAAAAAGGAGTGGAGGGGAAGGAGAGGGGATGCTAACAGGGGTGGCCAAACTTCCTCATCTTACGAGCCGCATAACAAAATCGTAATATGGCTGAGTCACAAGATACACGCCACTTTGCACATGCATTTGCTAGCGCCAACACTCCAATTTTACACCACTGCTCTTCCCCCAGCCTTTCTCCGCGAGCCCCGCTTGAACTGCTCGGGAGCCGCAGTTTGGCCACCCCTGCTATATGTCCTCGGAGAGAGCGTGAGAGGCATGGTTGATCTGTCACACGGGGAGTATGCACTGCCACGTGTCTTGGGAGACGGCGTGAGGAGAGTGACTGGAGGCCTCATGAGAGCATCCACTGCTATACGTCCTCAGAAAGGGCATGAGGGGCGTGGCTAGTAGTCTGCCTCACGAGGGCATCCACGAGGACGCACAGGTGACTAAGCTTCCGATCCATCGACTGCATCTGTTGCCAACACGGAAAAGAAGTTGTAACCTTCCCAAATGGCCAAAGCTCACTTTGAAGAAGAGTTTGCTATTAATGCTATGCACAATACCACACTCTTCACTTGAAAATTTCAAGTTACAATGGTACATGCTGCTCAACATGTTAACCTCTCCTCCGAGACACCATAGAAGATTTCGTAAAGATAAACAATGCTAAAGAGATGGATGGACCTGCTGCTCGATTCTGTAGAGCCTGGCCCCGATGGTTGTGGGTTTCACATTTCCACTCTTAGGGTCTATCCCAGCCAAATAACTCCCCGGTTTCCCCAGAGTCTGGTCCAACCGCCTCTGCAACTCCTGTAGTAACAGACCCAGTTTTCTCTCCCGTCTCTCTTGATCCCTTTTCGTGACTTTCTCAAGGTGGGGGCAGTAACTGACCTTGATCCGGACCATCATGTTGAGATGTCCTTGAGAGTATTGTTCGATGACATCCCTGACGTCGTAGGGTTTCCTCGCCTGTTGGAATCGCCTCCTCGCCACAAAATACTTTATTTTCCTGATGGCTCGGATCGCATTCTTGTGGGCTTCCGTTAACCTATTTACACGGATCCCACTTCAGAGAGTGACACTCCAGAAAGACGATGGATTAAGAAAAAAAAAGAGAAAACGCATACACGGAAACGCGAGGGGGATCGTCCATCTCCATTTCGATGTCATCGGAAGTGGCATCAGGCTGACTGCAGGCTTGGCTGATCGTCCGACGAGGCCTCGTCGAGTGCCCCACTGATCCTCCTACTCCAAACATCATCCAGGCATAAAATTAAATTTTGAAATTTTTTGATTCGGTAGTGTACATTGTTTTTCATCCTCTCTGAATCCTCACGAACCCTCACATGAAATCTATGACGAATAAGTAAATTACGAAATTTGACAAAATTGGAAGGAATTGGATGATAAAGTATGATTCCATTCTCCTCTTAAGTTCACCAAATTTATTCTCGTCACTCAATGAGCGATATGTAGAGATATGAGCTAAAGTGTACTCTAATAAAATGTGATTATGGGAGAGAGGAGGACCTGCTCGGGAGTCCTCCACGTAGTAGAAGGAGTCAGTGTTGTTATTGTCCCCATGGTCAGGAGGAATGTTATTTGATACATCCATCTTGCTCTTCGAGATCCTCCTCTTCAAAATGCTCTCACTGCGCTTCTTTATCTGCTCACCAAACAACGTAGGGGTGGAGGAGGGATGGGGGGAGGGGGGGAAGCATTAACGTGGACAGTAATCGAATCGAGAGTAAGTTCATGTATTTTGAGCAACTTAGTGGTAATTGGAAGAAGCAAGTTTTAGACAACGAGGTAATTACTAATGTGGCAATTCAATAGATTCTTTTCCTCGCAGGAAGAACCTCAGCCATCGAAGTTCGATTCTTCACGTTTTCGCCTGAAAAGCCTGACATTTCCTAGCAAGTGAGCAGAAAAGGAATGAGAAAATTGGTATGTATTCATTCCTAAAAGTACCATCGAGGCGCCAAGAAGCACAAGTGTTTCGAAAAAGGGAGGTGCTAATGTGACATCTCTGGTGTTAGACACAGACATATAATATGGATATATACACAGGTCTACCTGAGCAATGGAAGAACCGACACGAGCGAGTGGTGTGGATGGCTGAGTGGTACTGTTTCCGTGTTCCTTCATGTGAATCCTCCACGTCGCCGTGGAATGGAAGCGTTTGTCCGCTGCGTAACATCGCCACAGACACTGAATGAGAAGCGCTGCTGCCGGGATCTGACGATTGAAATGCTTCTGCCTCTGCTTCTGCTGCACCTTCAACGCGAATCCGCTCCCCAGAATCCCCTTCACCGAGCGGCAGAATTAGAATTGAGCAAAAATATATTAGTTATCTCTTGCTCCTCCCCCGACTCTTTAAAGGCAAATAAGAAGAAGCAGACGGCTGGGAGGGCGAAGAAGGAAATGGCAAAGACGCTGAAACAGGATGCGACGATTTTCCCCATCCATGTCCTGGGAACGGTGTCCCCATACCCGATAGTCGTCACCGTGATCTGCAAAGGATCCAAGGTAGAGAAAGGTCTCACTAGAAAGAATTAGGCGCTTAGGCTTCCTTGGGCTTGAAGGAGGAGAGATGGACGTACTACACCCCACCAGAGGGCATCGGCGTAGCTGGTGAAGTCAGACTTCCCATCCTGTCCCATGGCATCCTTCTCGGCCAGGTAAACGAAGTAGCTGGAGAAAATGAGGCCCAGGAATCCGATATACAACGTCGTGATCAACTCCTACGGGGAAGGAACGACAGACTTTCGGAAATCCATCCACGAGAGAGATCCTCATCGAGAGATGACCAGATCGAACCTGTCGATGGATGAAGACGACAGATCCAAGGAGCCTCCAGGTCCCGCCCTGGCGATCCACGTGAAGCATTCGAAGGATTTGGAGGAATCTGATCCCTCGGATGGCTGAGGTGGCGAACACTTGCCCATTCGAACCCACCGAGAGCACCACGACCGAGGCCACCACCACGATCAGGTCTGCCATTCATCAATCAATCGATCATCAATACGGTTTCACGAATTCCTAGCCGTAGGAGGAACATCTGCGATTTCCAGATCGACCTGGAGGCCGAATGTGACATTAAATTGAATCGCATCTCAAAATAGAGCTGAGAGGGCAAAGGGAAAGGGAAGCCGTTCATGAAGTTTTCATGCCAAGTGGGCACTCACAATCCATTAGGCCACTGTCTTTAATGCGAAATGCGCCGGCAATTAGCAAAAACCGACTAGAACTAACTCCTATTACCCTCTTCCTTTTGTTCATTACTGGATCGCTTTGCCTCAAGTGCCATGCATATATTCCTCTTTTCTCTTATCGATGGTAACGGCTAGAGTCCTGGTAGAAGGGAGGAAAGACGGAATGGGAAATGAAGTTTGCAACACGCGAAGGGGAGGGTTTTTAAGGAGAATGTGACAAGAGGTGCGGTAGGTGACTGCACGAAGTCGTAAATAGTGAATGGCAAAAGCTGCCCTTCCCAAGACAATTGGGGGAATTGTCTCTTCCGATGGTGTTTGCCCCAAGAAATACAGAGTATTCCATAAACCTTGATACATGTTCGAATCGTTGCATTTCTCGATTTAGAGTAAGGATTTGCATATTTGTTGCATTAAAAAAAAATCATACTTTAATTTCATTACAACACCTTCTTCTTGGCCCTTCAGAGGAAATTTACTTAATCGGAACGAATTTTGTTGAGCGTGTAAAAAAGATTGGAATAATTCTTTGCGTCTCTCTTATTGGAGGTCCGTGCTTTTCCACCTTCGTCATGGATGAAACCTACACCGTTGAGCAAAAAGCGAAATCAATGTCATGGGCCGTCACCTTCGAGAATAACCATTCCAATAAGAAGAATAAGAAGAACCATTGGACATTTCCAACAGAACTTTTCAAGTAAACGTGAGAGAGTACATGGCATAGGAAATTTCTCGAAATGGGAAATGCTGCGGACAAGAACCCCCAAGGCCTAATGATGATGATCCTGAGCTCTTCGATGCTGAAGCCATGAATACATTTTAATCATGAATAGGAAAATCATTCAGAAGATCTTCCCTTTTGTTGGGAATTTCCATCGCTAAAACGTTTCCGCACTTATTGAGTTTTTGTTTTATTTCCATGCAGTGTCATTGAAAAAGGGTGAATACTTTGTGTTTCATATTAAAAAAAAATCAAATAATCTTAATTTTTAAATAGCAATATCAAGTAAATGAGGTGTAAATATTTGAATTGGGCATAAAGTATTAAAAAATCACGGAAGTGTATGATCGCAATAAAAAATGATCCCAATTCGAACAAGTATCTGGTATCAAAAATTGTGAAACACCCTGTATTTGATTCTCTCTCTCTCCGAAATATGGAACTTTGTCTCCTGCATTTTGCATGATCCCGCATTCTTCAGGACCAACCTGGGATCGCATGAATTTTACATGGAGAATTTCTTCTTAATTTCTGGAATTCTTATCCATATCTAGAGATTAGTCAGACTTAAGGATGTCTCGTGTGAATTCTAAATGGAATTCCTGGTAGCGTAGCGGGATGCGGAAACCGCCGATTGATTGAAGCTAGAGAAAGATATATCTAGAGAAAGATATTGACGTCCCAAGGAGGAGGGTGCAATAAAAAAAAGGAAATGATTTTCAAAAGCTTTTTCCTCCAGAATGGAAGGATTGAGTGAAGTGCACGGCCATGCACTTGACGATCCCACACGAATCAATGTGAAGTAGGATGGCATGCAGAGATGCCCCGCGGAAACGGCCTGGATATGGCTCCCCCCATTATGAGCCCCATTATACGGCATTCAAATGTGCTAAAATCTATGGTTTGCGTGAAGCGATCTCGTTCGTGCAGTCCTCGGCATCGTTCTTTCTCCCCGGTCCGCCTTCATCGAATGATCAACGGCTAAACGAAGACTCGGACAGAATCTATCGATACGATTCTCGCACGTAAACGAGGCGAAGAGAATTCGAACTCCTACCGATGATGGAGATGGGCTTGCGGGCGAAGCGGAGCCGACCGCGGATCCCGCGGTACTTGCTCCTGCACCCCGCACTCCATAAACGGACCAGGTACTCGACTCCGAAGAACACCACCAGGGTGATCTCCTACAGGGAAGACAAGTCGCAACATGAACATGACCTCTCCTCAAGAGGGACGGTCCTCCTCCCCCACAAGAGTATCATTTTAATTTGCTATATATAAGTTTAATATCTTCAATGAAGCAACCCCAGCTTGCCCATATCTTGGCGATATGAGAACCGTCCTTTTCTCCAGCAAGAAAAAAACCAACAAACATTGTGGCAGACATAAACAGGAAGGCACAACGACAAGATGGGACTATTGTTGGCCTCTTTCTTTCTAAAAGAGGTCTGCTAATATTTAAATAAATAAATAATGAACTCGGGGAAATGGGTATAGCGCAGCGAACAATGCGATCGACAGGGAGGAGTTTTCATCTTCTCGTCTATTTCTCAAAGAATCTACGCTTGGGGAAACGGTATAAGGTCCAATGGTTAGGAAGGTTGTCAATGAAAAATATCGACAAAAGAGCACGACACACCCCCATAAACGGGGCACATCTTTATTATTCATGAGGCATGCATTCCACGGACACGATCATCGATTCCTCTTGCTCCCTTACCATCCAGAAGAGGGTTTTATCGGCGAAATTGGAGTATTGGTCGATGGTTGAAAGAACGCTGAAGATAAGGCAAATGAGGACCACCATGAAACTGCAAAGGAAAAGAGACAAACATCGTCAAACATTGCAGGCCATCAAATTCGAGACGATTACGAATTCCTCTAACACATCCCAACACAATAAACTTTCAGGAAAATGATTTACACCATAGTCAAATGGACCTCCACATTTGAAAAAGAGGGTTCGATCGGAGGAAGGATATCGGGAAGAGATAGGGAAGCATGTTCACGGTGGATATACACTCCATCGCTGCAGAGGCGATCGGTTCGTCCATGTTGGAGCATTCGGCATCGATTTAGCAGCACTGCATTCGCGGCTACTTGCACACCGCATTTTCCTCTTCTTGCGAGAAAGTAAGTCGAGTGGCCGTATGAAATATGCATATGAAGTTGTCCATCAGGCACGTTACAATGGCAGGTCGGGTTTCATTATCGGGGTAAACAAATGTCTGGCGTTGCGACATGCACTGGGCCGTCACGCGCTCCCCGGGTCAATAAACCAAATAAGTTCGTGGTGTCATGCACGTCAGAGTCATCATTCTCCTTTAGTGGGTGTAACTCTTCCACGACCCCATGTTGGGAATCCGGACTTAAGGCCACTCCTTACATAGGCGAACCCTAATTTTCCTCAGCCTATTTTATAGATTAGCTCTTTCGAGTTAGTAACCGATCGGTTTCACCTATCATTACAATGCTGTAAATTCAACATTATTCGCTGCATGAACTGCACGGAACGTACAGTGCACGTCGTATCATGCGACCCTGGGGATGCAACTTGGAGAGTTTTCACTTTTGCCATTGTCTTTGTAAGAGCAAAAATATGTCTCTGGTTTGCTAATATTGCTTAAAGTCCTGAACCTTGAACCTGACTCTCTAAGGCGGGAGTTCGTAACTTTTTTGCACTTACGAACCCCCCAGATCCTCAAGTATTACCCATGGACCCCCACTCCTGGCTATCAGAAACTTTGGAACACCTGGATTTGTGATTATAAATTATGTTTTTCGGGAGCTACCTTCAATTATATATTTAATTTTCCAAGGACCCTCCACGGATCCCCTAGACCTACCTCACAGACCCCCTGGGGGTCCATGGACCCCAGGTTAAGAACCCCTGCTCAAAGGGAATAAACAAAGCTCAATGATAGTCAGTAGGTGGACAAGAGTTTCCCTTTCTCTCTCTCCCAGATATAACAGCCTGAACAACGTATGAAAAACTGAGGCCAAGCAGAGCTGCAGAAGTACTGTTATCAGCATACTTCATTTACAAAGAAGTATAAAAGGAAAGGGAGAACATAGAAAAGCCGACGTCATTTCTCCCGGAATTGTAGGCGGCCTTCCTGGAGCATGAACTTCTGTAGTTGAAGTGCTCTTAAACTTGATTCGGACAAAGTCTTGGCAAACTGGAGAGAAACATTAGCTTCAAAATTAACTGCTATCACATTACTCAATACAGGCAGACAGACTGACACACAAAGCTTGAACTGCATCTATTACCAGTACATAAAAATGAAAACTGCAGAAAATTAGAAACCGTTCCCGGGAGTTGGAACTTGGAGATGACAGTCATGAGTTTTGCAATAAAAATGTTTCCAGTTATTTTTTATATATCTTATCAGGACCTGGTTTATGTACCAGTAAAGGGGTCGATATATAAAATATCCAATACATTTACTTATTTATTTCAAGGATAAGCACTCTCGTGAACTGCCCCAAGGCGCTGCCTAAGCCCAATGCTTGGTATGTAAACCAAGGTTTGGAATTAGTCATTCCAAAGAGTATAAGGAGCTTCTTAGAATTTTAGAATATAATGCAAATTTTGTTTAAATTAAAATCAGTATCATAATCCCTAAAACACATGATTGCACCTTGATATTGGTGTCCGGTGCCATAACAGGACTGTTCAGTACCGTATTACGGAGGTATATTACACGGTAGAGCAACCTACGTCATGGTGCTGTACTTCTTCGACGAAGAATCGGTGGAAAAAAGGTAACTACAATTAAAGAGGTAGTTTTGCCAAATAAATACACCAAATATTTGTACCCAAGTCATAGCTACCGCACTACTTTACCCGAAAAAGACCAAAATGAACGAGCCATCACAGAGACTGCTGCAACACTCAGTAATATGCCAAGGGCATTTTATAACCTTTGAGCAGAGTCAGCGTGGACAACTGTATAATCCAAGTCGATGGTTTAAACAAGATGGAGCCTCCCTTGTTCCAGCTAGAGCTATCACTTACACTCATGAAACATCTAGTTTCATCGTCATAGTTTCAAAGATGACCAGAAAGCATTCAATACCTGATTTCCATTTGTTCACATGTTTCATTCCTTATGTGATGTCGTAATGTACTAATGCAATCAATAAAAATTTCCTTAAAAGTTTGTTTCCTGGTTGAGTTCAGCTTCCAGTCTCTTCTCAGGTGTCCTCTGAAGCTCTCTGGGTCAAATCATGTTCATCACGGATCTTGAGGAATCTGGTTTTCGCACAGAACTCACACAGAGCTGGTGGCACGAACTACTCTCATCCTAGTCTCAAAGGCACCGATGATGGACAATATGATTAATGTATTAGCGCCTCTTTTATTTTGGTTGTCTGCTGTTTATTTTTCCTTCACCCATGCTTAAATAAAACCATGTCTAAGAAAAGTCTGTGTATCCTTTTCTAAAATACAGGCTGACCAATTAGTCGGTTTGGCTATCAGAGGTTCATCTCGGCATATATATTTTTCACATGGCCTTGAATCTTGGTGGAGCAGTTCAAGACACCACGGGGAGAGAGATTATTGCTCCATCGTCATCACCTATAGGGAGTGCCAAGCACCGGTTGGTTGTGGTTATAAAAGCGTGCTGCAAAGGTGCTCATGCATTTGCTTATAAAAGTTGAACTGCCAGAGAAGTGGCAGAGCTGAAGGACTCAATGACCAGAAAGCACTCAATACCTGATTTCCATTTGTTCACATGTTTCACTCCTTATGTGATGTCGTAATGTACTAATGCAATCAATAAAAATTTCCATATCGTGCCGATCACCTGCTCCTACGCGTTCTCCATTGAGGAATAGGGCGGACATTTATTACACTAGCGCAGTTTTCAAACGATGTGTTTTTATTGATTCTCCATAGAAAATGGAACGTTCTTTCTTTCGGACCCCTATACAGTATGTTAAGCCTCCATTCGATAAGCCTCCCTCTTGTTTTAATAATTTATTCTTGTCGAAATGAAGCATGATGCCATAGGAAACCAATCCATGACCTACCCAAGATGGAGGGAAAATCCTTCTTCCGCTCTGAACTGTGTCTAGGGTGCACATGAAACCCTCGAGGAAATCATTTTTACAATTAAAGGGGTGAAAGGAAAAGTCATCCATTTGGGAAATTGCCAGTAAAAAGTAAAGTTGGTTTGCACATCATTTTCCACCAATTTTAAGGAGACGGTCACAGGATTATTATTTCTTCCCGCATGTGGCTCGTGAAAATATTTTTTTTTGCAGATAGACAAATTTTCCATTTAGCCCTTCGATAGAGGCCTGGAGAACGGAAAGGACAGGACAGTGAAGGTCCCTAACTTTCCTTCCCCCCCCCAACCCCCCCCCCCCCC